GTGATGTTATATCATGCTTAAATCATAATTTCTAAATAAATTATATATATATATATATATATATATATATATATATATGTATATGTATTTCCTCAGTAATTTTATAATATATATATATAATTATTATAATATATATATATATATATTTTATAATATATATATATTTTATATTATGTACATTATATATTTTATAATATATATAAATTTTATAATATATATATTATATATTTTATAATATATATATATTATATATTTTATAATATATATACATTATATATTTTATAATATATATTTATATATATATTATATATTTTTAATATATATATATATATATTCCCTCAGTAATTTTATAATATATATATTATATATTTTATAATATATATATATTTTATAAATATATATATATGTGTTACATATTTTATAATATATATATATATTATATATTTTATGATATATATATGTATATATATATATTTCCTCAGTAATTTTATAATATATATATTATGTATTTTATAATATATATATATATTTTTAATATATATATATATATATATATTTTATATATATATATATATATATATATATATATATATTTCCTCAGAAATTTTATAATATATATATATCATATATTTTATAATATATATTTTTTATAATATATATATATATAGATATATATATTTCCTCGGTAATTTTAGAATTTTAAACTTAATAGAGATTAAATTTAAATTTTAAAATGGGTAATTTTTAATATCAAATTTTATCGTATAATTTAATACTTATTAGTTAGAATAAATTCTATTTTAGTCTAACCCCAACATTAAGGCATTAAATAGTCATTATAACCTTAGTCCGTTGTCAAGTTTTTTGAATTCTCGTATACTTGTATTTTGATTGGTCATTCCAGCTTATGTAACAGCGTTTCCCCTTGCGAGGGGTGGTTAATTAATTTGAACCTTTTAAAACCCTTTATTCTAAATTTAACATCATCACTTGATAAGACACCAGAGGTATTGAAACAATGTGGCTAATTTTGTAGTGATTTTTTAACATATTTATGTTTTAATTTTCGAATAAATAATTATATTTGCTCTACTCTGTATTGAGCACTCTTTTAAGTATAGTAATTGTTGGTTATTGGAATTTATTCCGTATACACCAATCCTATACTTATATATATATATATATATATATATATATATATATATATATATATATATATATATATATGAGTTTGTGAGTGGATTTTAATAAAATCAATAACATGTATATATAAAAATTTATATCATTTTCCCATATGTGTGTGTGTGAGTCTTTGTGTGTGGGGCGGAGATGTGTGGCTCGGGCTTGCGTTTCTAGGCCTGCGAAAGAAAATATAATTATTTGGCCTTGTCCACCGACTGTTCCGATCCTGGTGTTTATCTTAACCTTTGCCGGCTGTCTTTAAGGAGTAATTAGTAACTGCAAAGTAGACATTCCTCTAATTAAAACAGTTCTCTTTAACTCCCCACTGCAGTCCCTAGACAGACGGAAAACCCGTGTGAGAGGCAAACAGGAATCAAGCCCTCGTTTTAGCCAAACACGGCTGGCTTAATTTTCATCTCACCGATTTTCAAACAAGCTGAGTTTCAACATTGTAACCTTCTCTTCTCACCAAATGAGTGGCGTGGGGAAACCTAGACTTATCTATTATAATTCAATTCCTTCAAAAGCATTAAACCCTGGCCCAGCCATTATGTGCTATTCGTGATACACGCTTAGGCGATCATGTATTTTTCTATACATGACTAACGAGGTAATTTTTTTTTCCCGCTGTAGGTTGCCATTTCTTTCTGAGGTAGACCAGTTGCCATCTAAGGCTATAGAACCCAGTCTGTCCTGCTATTTACCTATAGCTGGGTGCTGGGAGAAGAAGAGGATTCATACCTTTCCCAAAGGTGTTAGCATGTAAGTGAATGTAATGGATGCGACTGGAATTCGAACTCGACTCTCCGATTCCTAAATTCGATATTTCAAGCGCTAATCAAAGAATTAAGAAACAGGACATTTTCTTCAGAAACAAAGAAAAGTGTACTGATCTGCTACGTAATAACAGTCCTCCTGTATGACAGGGAATTTTGAACAATTTCCTCACAGATGAAGAGAAGACTTAGAGCAACAGAAATATGGCTCTACAAGAGGATGCTGAGGATGAACCGAACATGTGAGCAACGACGACGTTCTAGATTAAATGGAAACAAAAAGGAAAACATACTTATCATCAGAAAGAGACAGTTGAAATTTTTAGAGTACATAATGAGGAAAGAAGGCTTGGAAAATCTAATACTCATAGATTGAAGGCATGAGAGGCAGAGAAACCAACGCATAATATACTTAGTGAACTCGAGTAAATGAATGGCGGAAAAGAATTTCGGAGGAATAATAAAAAGAGAAAATTTATTAAAAACTACAAAAGAGAGGAAATTTTGGAGAGCCATGATCGCCTACGCCCTGAAGAGACACGTTACACAGTAGAAGAATAATCATTCACTTAATACATGAACCGAGAGCCACTCAAGATAGAGGGTTACTGGATGTGATATTTGTAAGAGCGTAAACGCAGGAAGTAAAGGTGCATATTATGAGGATATGTAGGATAGATATCAGTCGACCTTAGACTCGAAGGAGTGTCTTCCAGAAGGTAATAGTTCTTGGGATTGAGTAATTGATTTGTTTTTTTACGGCTTATCAACCCTTTGTGGATTATTTAAAGCCGAAACATATTTTGCATGGTAATTCTTTCGATACGAATGAACTCTGCATTAACAATATTTTGGAGATAAAAATGATTTTTCCAGATCGCATGAGAAGAGAAAAGATATATCAAAGACGCTACTTGGTTTCAATCAGAAAATGAAATAAAGAAGGGAAGGTATAAGCGTTAAATGTCTGTTTCAATGAAATGGAAACATTTGTCAATTTCAAATCTTTTCATTTGTACCCCCTTACTTCTTAAAATATCGACCAGCATTCATATTTATGATTGTTATTGCAATATTTTGTTAAAGTTTTTTTAAACTCAAATATTTAACGGTGCGATGGGGGATTTTTACGTATATTTTATTGTGCTAAAATTCACCATGAGCTTATTCAATTATTAACTGAAGAATTAAGATTAATCAGAAGTTTCAAATAGGAAAACCTTAAATTTTTCATGGGTTAAAACTAATAATAATAATTATTATTATTATTATTATTATTATTATTGGCAACAGTCAAACGTAGACAGACTAAAACGGACAGAAGTGTTAACAGAAATCCAGGAAACAATGAGATATGGAAAAGAATAAAATAAGAAATTATAAAAAACACAAATAGAAATTTGAAAGAAATAAATACGTAAATAAATGGGGAAACTACAATGAAAAATTGGGGGAAAAAAAGGAAATACAAATTGAAGATTAAAATGAAAAATAGGACAACACACGATGAGAAATATGAAAACAAATAGAAATGGGAAAATGAAATAAAAAAAATGAGAAGAGAAACAATTAAAAATAGGAACAAAAAACAATAATAAATAGAGAAAAACGATTAGAAATGGGTAAAAATACAAAAAGAAATGAAAAAAAACATTAGAAATGGGATAAAACATAATAGAAATTAAGAAAACTACAAAGGAAATGGGAAACATTCAATGAAAAATAGGAAAAAATAATAAGAAATGTGAAGAAATAAAATTAAAAATGGGAAAACCAATAAAAAATACAAAAAAAAAACAATGCGAAATGAGGAAAATACAACGACAATTGAAGCTATACAAAGGAAAATAAGAAAAACAAAATTAAAAATTGTGAAAACATAAATATAAAGGAAAAAAATAAAATGAAAAATGGGGGAAAAAAAACAAGGAAAATGGGAAACGCATTGAAAAATGGCGCTGTTCTTTCTAAATACGTTTGAGAAATAAAAGAGACAAATTTGAGCCGGAATATCAAATGAAAAAAAGTTTCAAAAGAGGAATAAAAATTTTCAGATTGTACCAGGAAGAAAAGCCGGCAATTTTAATTCTCAAATCCCAACCAGTCACTGATCAGAAATTCATTCAGGATGTGTACACACACCAAAATATCTATTGGTTAATATACCATTAAGATAAAGCTTACATCCTGGTTTATTAATAATTTTCTATTAGCATTTGAATACAAATGAAAATCCATTTAGAGTTGAGCATATACTGTACTAGCAGCATGGCCCGGCGTTGCTCGTGCTTGATTCAAAAATCTCATACAGCAATCGCTTAAAATATTTTTGCCCTTCATTGCCTTTAAAGGAGTACCCTTGCCGTGCTGATGTTGCTACATGCCTTACTTCTTGCCTATCTCACACTGCGAATTTTTTCTAAGCTCTACACTAAACATTAAATCTGTTACAAAAAAAGAACTAAACAAAATGAACACAAAACAATCAGCTTTAAAAAGGACTCGTAACTGGAAAAACCGAATGAAAAAAAATGTTAACAACAAAACTTTTTTTCACACCCAACGCAGTTCTGCGGAATCAGAATCAACGTTGAGTTTAAGCAAGCGAATGAGCCAATTGGAGTAAAGTGCCATGCAGATTTAAATTTTTCCCACTTGTGACGAATGCAGCTATCGATTTTTTTTTTTGCATGCTAGCATGCTAGTTAACATTTGTGTCAGTCAGCTGTTGGCTCTCACGCTGGCCAATAGAATCTTCCTGCCTATTTTGGCCAGTACAAAATGGCCACAAGCTACATGAAAACTGCCGTAGAAGCATGAAAAAATCGATTATTTCCACTATCGATGGTAGTTGGGAAATGCAAAGTCGGTTTTGGCCTGCCCGCTAACTTGGAGCATGTTCATGTAAATTTTGGTGCCAATCCGTCGAAAATTGCGACCGTGCATTCGTTACACACAAACACACACACACACACACACGCACATCCTGCCTCTTATAGATAGAGATATAAGGCTTTTGTGAGTAACAAACTGAGTGCCGAG